TCAGGCCCACCTGATAGGAGGCTAGTTGGCCCGGGTGGGAAGCGCGATCAGGTGAGTTGCCCAAAAACGTTACACTAACTTTTGGTCAGTTTCACCAGTTTCAGCAGTTGGCAATCTCTGGAACTCACCGAACTGTGAACCTCCTAAACAGCCCTTACGGTATGTCTGAGTTTGGCCAGTTGGGCAACTTGTAGCCAAACAGCCAAATGGTCCTATAAGTACGTACCTGACTGAAAATCAAACTCTGCAACAACCGAGGGAAGTTCGTTCGAACGATACATCTAAGCAAGTAGGCCACGTTGATTATGTGTAAGAGGTACGACAGGTAAAGTTGAACGAGAGACATCGGCGAATGTAAGAGACAGGGTGGGAAGAATAGTGGTGTATCGAGCCAATCACTGTGCTAACTGATGTATCTTATCGTCAATCACTGTTGAGAGTGGCGGGCATGATAGTTGTGAGCGGGTGCATGAATCTGAATAATTGGTAGCCAGTAGGTATATTCACTAAGCAGGGCAGGGCATACCTAGTTGGGGCCTTCGCCATCTGAGACTTCCACTGCCGCACGAGCGCGCGCCTGGCGCGTGGATTGACTGGAGGCATACGCTCAGCCACCGACTGGACGTCGGCAGGAAGTGTACTGATGGATCGCGCCGAAGATCTTTGCCCGCTTCGCATCGTTCAGATCTTGAGACACCGTCTCGAGGTACTGAACCACGGCCTCGCCGGAAGCCTTGTACGACATCTTTTCGCCCGCATTCTCGATTAAACCACCAGATCTGTAGAGGCGCAGACCGCGCTCAAGCTAATACTGATGAGTATGTTGAACAAGAAGACTCGGAATGGACTCGCCGCAATCAGTGACATGACAAGGACCTGTATGGGATACACGTGGTCAGGATCTTTGTGGAAGGTCGTGTCGGCACCAGCGACTTTTAGAAAATGTGTGGCGAAGACTTGGAGGAAGAGGGGGGATTCGTACTTGCCACGTTTTGCCTAGAGCCAGGGTTAGATATGTGAAGGTGGGTACGAAGCAACAAGTATGGCGTAACCCGTCCGCTGTGTAGACCCGCCACATAAACCTGATGGGCTCATACTCGCCACTGTCATTGTCCTCGCCATGTGGTACCTCATTGGTTGCGGGGAACACGTCTTCAACAAATGCTGTGACCATTTCCCGACTGCCCAAACTAGCTATGTGTCTAGCGGGTGAATCGTTAGCCGTTGTACGGAAGGCCGTCCGCCAATTGCGCAAAGCGACAACAATCTAACAGAGACCGTTGTGACTACTGACATCAATATAAAGAGAGAATAAACGACTACGCACGTTCTCGTACACGGGTTCGTTCGGCCCGATTTTCTTGAGATAGCGCGACTGGCTGCCGTAGACATGCTTGCACACGGTTTGGACATGCTTGACCAGATCGTCGTTATCGAAAGGGTGTTTGAGCTGGTCAGGGCCAAGACAGGCATAGTAGGAGATGAATGTCGGCTGAAAGACGGACCAGAGCTTCTTGTGTTCGGGATCCAAATCGCCTTGCATGTATCCCTTCTTCTTTGGCCTCTCCGCACACACACCACGACGAGGAGCCACTTTGCGATGGAACTCGACAGCAACACTTGGCTGTATCAGAGTGCATCTTCAGACAACCTGCCGAGTTGAACACTTGGCGACTCACATTGTTGCTGCCCACGGGGTGGCCTCCTGCAGGTGGGACCTCTTCGATCTCATCATTCTCGACCATTCCACCAAAGCCCAACTGAATTGGTGCGCAGGGGACGGGCGGTTCCATTACAGATGTCGACGAGCGGCCATTTTGGCGATGCACCGCGACCTTGTCGAAGCCAGGGCACTCACCGGCCTTTGCGTTGGCCGTGTGCTTGCGAGCACACTTGCTCTGGGCTTTGCTGTGCTATGTCTCAACAGAGACATCTATACTTGAAAAGGGGATGTCATACCTTGGCAGTGGTGTCACCGTAGGTGCGCGCTTGCATGCAGTTGGGCCAGTAGCAATGGCAGGCTGAGAAGAGAAGGTGAATCGCGTGTACATGGCGCGTACACCTCGTATGTGTTTTGTTGCAACTATGACCTATGGCATGGCTGATGAACCCTCCAGAGCGCGCATACAGCAAGAATATAGACTCGTTAGGGCACTCAATTGGGCTTCACAACCTGCAGGAGCTGGTCGAGAGCTTCCTGGTGGACGCGATGGCAGACGGCAACCCTGATTCGGCTGCGGTGAGGAGTGTATTGGGCCTCTATCGGCCTAATTGCACACTTGCCTTTCACTCTGCCCTCGTCGCTTCCATGCCCCGTCTGACCCTTCCGGGATCAAGGGGATGCGACGTGAGTACATTCGCCACACACCGCATTGGAGCAAGGAGGGTGAATGGTGCGATTGTGTCTTCATCACCACAGATGAAGATGCACGTGGCGTGAACTCTGTTACAGCCACACATCACTGGGTGAATCGCCTTCGGAACGAGGCCCTACTACAGAGCTGTTACCGTCTGTAACCAGCATGTACTACATCTGTATACAGATTCTGATCCTTGCCCGATACCAGAACGGACCAATCCTTAACATGCTCGGATCTCGGCCCAGATACCAGGGCGACTACGCACGTAACAACACTCCTGATACCGACTGATTGCTTCGAGTCTAAAGCTGTCTGAGGCTCACTACATGGATACCAGTAGTGATCCATCACCAGTCTAAGTGAGATCCCGAAGAGATCCTCGGCCGATCCGCATCGGACTCGGCCTTCCTACACCGTAATCCATCTAATCAAGCTTGTACACAGCCAATGATCCCTGTGGTCCGAGTTGCTACTATCAAGCAGGTACTAGTATACACGTGTGATCCGATGCCTGTACAATAGAGTTACGCAAGGTCCCGAACATCCGAATTGCACCTGCTACCTGCATGTGTATCCAGTAGTACTGAGAGCACTCACAGATACCATCAACGGTTGTATGGGTCCCTGTCAAGTTTGTCAAGGCATCGTACCAATCAGATGTTGGTAGCTAACATGATAGTACAAGTGCTGGCTCACCTCTCTTGTTGACAGCATCGGCAGCGATGGCCACCACATACCGGAGAAATGAATGACAGTGAAAGAAAACCTTGCTTGAGCCTGAGCAACGCGTGAAGGCACTGGGGTGACGATGGTGTTATCTGGGGAAGGTATAAAAGAGTTGCTGAGATTAGACATACCTGTGACCTCTAATTGGTGTCGCAAAAACTTTTGGGCCCGGTGAGTCCGTGTCGGCCATTGCCAGCACCTAGCAAGTGCCTGGCGAGCGTCTGGTCACTGGGTGACCAGACCCGTGCGTGGTGGTCAGCGGCTCGCCAGCTGGTTGCCAGCCGGTCGCCAGAACATGAGCTGCATGTGGAATGCGCTGATAGCTCTCGCCGAGCGCTCAAGAAAATATCAGAAAATGGTATCTTAATCATTTGAAAATTCCTTCAGAGGTTATGGGCTGGTGAACACCGCTTGCACAGACTCTGGTGACCGTCTGGCCACCGTCTGGCCACCAGCTGGTGACCCGGTCGCGATCAGCTGACCGCGTCTGGTCACTGAGTGCCAGAGGCTGCGCACGGTTGACAAGGACTCACTGGGCCCAAAAGTTTTTTGTGACAGGAACTACTACGGCGCCATGCCTCCCTCGACCGATGCAATTCCTTCTCTCAATGGCTATGACGTCGATATGATGGCACTATTTGGCATTGATGCTGGCACTGGCACTGAGATGGGTGGCGGAGGTGGCGAGCTAGCGGAACGGGTACGTCACGATCCTATACTCCTGCATTAGGGTTGAGTGTAAACTGATTTGGATTGCACGCACAGGCCACGATGGATGTCGACATACCTGGAGAACTGGCGGGTCTCCTTCAAGTTACCACTCCGCCGATCATGCATAACCCCCAGCCAAGTTTCCCCGGTTTGCCTATGGTAAGTGTCACCCTGTACTGTACTAAATTGACCGACTGTTCAGGTCGGTCGAGCGTTACATGTTACCGTTCACGAAGTTCATCCGGGACCCGGTTCAACGGGCCATGTTACAGGTTACCTCGAACTGTTCATCAGATACGAGGTACCCGGGAAGGCGCATGTTGCCTCCATATCGGCATTGTTGTGACGTACCTGTGAGCTAGACTCGTGTACGGGAGCCCATACCACTGTGCTGTTAAGATTTATTAGGAACCAGGGGAAAGATTGCTAGGCACAAATATGGAAATAATGTGCAAGCCCTGTGGACTGACGTAGTGTCAACATGGCACTTTCAATCCAATTGTAGCACTTGCACACGTAGTCGTAGCACGACAGCACATCTACAAGGCCGGGAAATGGCTGGAGCTGATACCGTGAGCTTAGAGAAGGCAAGTATGAGAAGGACCGTGCGTGGGAGCGGAGAGTGTCGACGCGGCGGGACCGTTCTTCGATTGTTGCTGCACCTTTGCTCTGCCCACGACGGTGATGAACAGACTTGCCGCGTCGCCCGATACCCCTCAACGCGCGTGCAATAGGCTTCTTTCCGATCCTTAGGCTATGGTCGGATGATTCCCTCTGATGGATTTGCTCTGTCGAGCACCAATATAGCCATAGTGCTCTGCCTCGTTCAGGACAAGAGCGACAACCGAACGTATGTGCCTCTCCCGCTCTGATGGCTCCTTTACCGACATCGCTGATATAGATTGACAAGCCTGGATGTCGACTGGTCACCACTTGCCCCCCACTCTCGTTAGCCACGATGCACTTCAAGCCGCATTGTCAGTGTCTACCCTCCTCATCTCACCCACTACCTAACACGCATATTGCAGCGAGCGGCCAAGCGGCGATTATAGGCGCATTATACCAGCCTGTCACCAGCATTATTATACCCGGCCTAGTCTATCTCTTTATCCGGTCACTCTATGGCCTCTACCTCACTCCTTCCATCGTCCTCTTCGTCCTGGCGACCTACGATACCGCTGATATCGTTGGCACTCTCATACTTGCCTCGTTTTTACTCATTGGATTCATACTACTCATCAGTAAGCTCAATCGTTCTCGTCTTGAGCTCACGGTCTAACATTTCGCACAGATCATTACTTCGATTTGGCAATTGCAGACTCCTGGTTCCCCTCATTCCGTCCGACTCGGTCCAGTCGGTACGACCTTACCAACATGCGTGCACGCCATCGTCGTCGGCTTCTGCTGTATCTTGAGGACCCTCTCTCGTCCAGTGCTGGGGTGCACATACTCCCTCCTTCTGCTCTTCGCGAGAAGAACACTTCACTATGTCGCAGTCGATACAAGTGCCACGTACGCGTTGAGGGTGTTCTTATATTGGCTATTCTGGCTTTCGCTCGGCTCCCCTCCTCTTTGTCGCCATCGGCCCAAGTACGTATTGATGGTCCATATGTATGTTGGGCCACCTATACTCATTCTACGAGAAGCCTCGCAGGTACTCGGAAGGCACTTCCGCTACCAGCTTCTTCCAAAACACAGCCGTCACTGCAGCCTCGGTCCTTCTCGCTCACGCAAACTCGGTACCTGTGCTTGTCGGTGGTGGAGATAGTCTTTCGAGTAACTCCAACATCGATATGACGGTGCCCGATTTCGTCTTGCCATCTGACGAAGCTGCGAGCAACCCCGTCCGGCGGGTCCCCGAGGGTGTACTCGACCTCCTCTTGCCTGATAGCACATCAATGGTTATACACGGCGCCACCAATTTCGCCGACCGTCTTCCGGCATTGTCGGTCACGCCCATTTACTCCCACGAGCCGCCCAATCTCCTCATACATCCCGACTCTGCTTCTGCAGACTTCCGCGACGACCTTCAAATGCTGGCACCCGACCTTCTTCATAGTGCTATCCATGATTCCCGTCGTCTCTCATCACAGTTTGCGGAGCAACACCGGTCGGGTGCCCGTTCCCTCGAGTTCGCGCCGAATCTCCGAGTTCCGCTCTGGACCGAGCGCCTCCTTCAAGATACGCGTCTACGTGCCACAAACCTCTTTCGCTGGGGCCAGGCCCTTGACTTCTTGGAACCATACCTCGCTGAGGGCTTCGAGGGTGTCACGCAAACCAATCAGCACCTCGTCGCTGAGGATGTTCGCAATCGCCTGCACCACACCCCTCTCGATCAGTCTTTGCGTCGTTCTGATGGTTCGGAACTCCTCTCGCCACAGGAGCTAGCCGCGTTCTTGTCCCGTCGCTGGCTCAATGACAGCATGATCAACGCTGGCCTCGACTGGATGATTCGGGAGCTTGGGCCGACGTCAACCGTTGGATTCGCCCACTGCTTATTTCTTGAGTCTCTTCGTCATGCGAGAGTACGATCTGGTGACAGTGTGTACGTCATCTCTGCCATTGTCACATGTTCTCCGCTTATATCTTAGTAGATATCATTCTCGCCTACCTTCTGCTCTTGCAGAGGGCGTCGCAAATGGCCGTATTCGCATCTTAGAGATCCCCGTCAATGCTGGAGGTGTCCATTGGGCTGGGATCCGTGTTGATATCGGCCATCGGACATACTCGTATCGTGATGGACTCAATGATATGGCAACTGTGGACCCGGCCGACATTGCCCTCGTCGAGTGGTATTTGTCATCTCTGCTCCCAGATACGGACACGCTGCACCTCGCACCGGCCCCTCTGCCTATCGTTTCGCCCAAACAGACTGATACACACTCATGTGGTGTTGTCTACTTGTCATCCCTTCTGCATGAACACTGCGAGGGCCCTGCCTGGCATCAAGAACTAGCCGACATGCGTCGAATGGAGTGGTTTCTCGCGATGACAGATGGCTCTATCGTACGCGCACATTTGAGTTCTCGGCTTTCTTCTGTACACTCATGGAATCAATACAGGGTTCGACGACTGAGTTCCATGCTCCGCACGACGAGGATGGTGCCGACTCTACACTTGGCCTTGAGGATGTGGACTTGTATCTTGATGATGCAAGTCCCGACTCCTCCACCTTCAGCGACAACGGCACGTCTTCTGGATCGTCTTCAGTGGGATCAGTCCCACCATCATCTTCGCTGTCCAGTGTAGTGTCTGCTACACCCGCCGCACCATCTATCCGACCCGGATCCACCCTTGGTATGTGAAGGGCTATTTTCGGTTTGCGCTGCAGTACTAACTAACTTCTTTTAGACTCATTCCTCGCGCAAATGGCAACTCCTTCAAATTTACGTTCCCAGCCACCACGCACACGCCGCAAAGCTTCTTCTACCTGCAGTACCCCTCAATCGACTGGTCGGACACACGAACTGAAATCCGTGCCGCTTACTTCCTGGTTCAAGCGAATGACGCCAGAGGAAGCGGAGCAAGTACGGTTGGCATCACGCGCTGAGCGCATGGAGGCAGAGGCCGAGCGGTGCCGTTTGGAGCAGCAGAAGATCGAGCTCCGGAAGATCGAGAAGAAGGCTGCGGAGCGAGCAAAGACACGCGAACGCGTGCGAGCTTACCGTCGGCGTCAAAAGCAGAGGAAGGTTCGCATTTACTAGTTGTTGGTGTATGAAGATGGCTTGAATTGACCTAAACTGACAGGATGCCCAACAATCTGGCAACAATCTGTCCGATGTTCTTGGTAAAACAGGCGCCCCTGTTCCTTCGCCCGTTCCTGCCAGTACCGCCGAACGCTCCCGCCCACTCCGTGCATTCAATATCGACCTTTGTGCCTCTAACGCATCATGTGGGCGCAAACGACTCCATGAAGACAAAGCTGCAAAAACAACCAATTGGACGAACGCGTTGTTGTTCGAGCAGATCAAGCAAGCTGCCTACGAGTCGGGTCCCCGCATGCGCGTCTCGGAGATCCTCAAGATTCTACAGCGCCGCAATCCAACCGACTTCGCGACACTGACTCCTCAAGTTCTCGGACGGTACATCGAGCGTCCCCCGAATGCTCTGCCATATTTCAAGGCCAGTGTGTTGAAGAGGGTCGCTCGCAAGGGCGGTGCGAAACCCGGCGGCCAGAATACGCGTAGCGGTTTCCTCGTAAGTTTCTCACCGTAGTATCATGTTCAATACTCTAATATTTTACTTAGGATGGGCATCCTTCACTCATAACGGCTATAGTCGAGCAACTCACGACACTGCGTGCTGCTGGCGTGCCAGTCTCCGTCCACATCGCTCGCGGTATCATGTTGGCCCATATCCGTCATTTGGCCCCGGAACTCCTTGAACGAACGGCGCCCGATGGCTCGCGCTTCAAGTGTTCCGACGCGTTCGTGCGCAAGTTCTTGTACATGCACATTCGGTGAAAACCCCGGGCATCGACGCGTGCAGCCCAGAAGATTCCCGCTGATGCCAACCAACGTCTATTCGAGCTCTTCGTGCGCCTAGTGCTCATCTTCCGTGATGCTGGCATACGTCATGGCGAACTGTTTGTCAACTTTGACCAAACTCAGGTCGTCGTCGCCGACCCCAGTCATGGAACATATGAAGTCGAAGGATCAAAGCAAGTCAGCGCGATTGGTGTCGAGGAGAAACGCGCGTGGACAGCTGTTGTTGGTGTCGCGTCTAGTGGCTCCGTCCTTCCTTTTCAGGTCGTCATGAAGGGAAAGACCGACCGATCCCTCCCGTCCGAAGATGCGCCTTCACGTTCCGAGGCACGCGATCTTGGGTTCCAGTTCAACGTCAACGAGAAGAATTATTGGTCTAGCCTCCCTTTGATGGAGAGGTATTTCGAGACCATCGTTGTCCCTTACTTTACGGAGCAGGTATGCGCTATTTCTTACATGCTTCACAATGCCTGCTGACCAATAACGTTATAGAAAACTCGACTCGGGTACAGCGACAATCAGGAATGCGTTGTCCTCTTGGATTGCTGGTCGGTTCACCGTAGCAAGGACTTCCGTGACCTTGTACGCACTCGATGGCCGTGGATACGCCTCCGATATGTTCCCGGTGGCATGACTGGCCTCGCACAGCCATGCGATGTTGGTATTCAGCGGCCGTTCAAGCTATCGATCAAGCGCTCGCAGTTGGACGATATTGTCGCGGAAATCCTGGCACACCTCAACGGTGGTGCTGATCCCACACAACTTCACCTCGATACTCATATTGGTACATTGCGCAATCGTTCCGTCAGCTGGTTCGTCCGGGCGTGGCAAGAGATCAATCAACCTGAACTCGTGCGGAAGGTATGTTCGCTCGTTATCGTGATCTTGAATATTGTGCTGAAACAGATGTAGGCCTTCCAGCGTTGTGTAGTCCGAGGTGGCTTTAACCTGTCATTCGAGTCCATCACCAGCTCCGCGGCACTCAAGCTCGTTCGCAAGCTCCCTCGAACTGACCCTGAGACTTGGGCAAAGGTCATCGCCGATTATGGTGTCGAGGATGCTGCTGGGAATGATGGTGGCGAGTCCGAATGTGAACTGGACTTCTCCGAGTCATGGGAACGGGCTGACGGCGGCGAGGAGGATGACGAGGGTGTGGACAGTGATGGGTCCTCAGACTTTGGCGATGACACTGCTCTGGGCCCTGTTGACCTCATGCGTGTTCTCGTCGGTGATGCATCTCGTACTACCACTCGTCTTGGAGATGCGGAGCGCCTTGATGTGTTGGACCCCCCTGTCGTGGAGGAGGAAGAGTTGGGCCGTGGCAAGCGTCGCAAGACCGGCAACAAGCTTTACAATGACTTCATTTTTGACCGTTCTTCGATGTAGACGCTGTATACGTAGCTTATACTTATATTCTGCTGTCTAGTTTCCATAAAATACATACTCTTCGTGTTCTACCATGTGTAACGATTTTGCTGTTCAATGGACAATGTTACATGTTACTGAACACCCGAATGGTTCATCGCGCGGCCGAACGTTACGCGTTACGAACAGTCGGTCGATTTAGTACAGTACATCCATTGGAATGAGGCTGACGCACCTTACAGGAATATGGTAGCGGCCACTTAGACTTCAGAAATGGCCACATGAATCCAGCCAGCTCCAACCAGGAGACGCTGCAGGGCTATGTCCCTGTGTATTCGAGCGCACCGGCCCACGACAAAGTGACTGTACCTAAGAGTATCTCCCAAGCACTCATCCAGCTGTCCAAGGGTCATGCTGAGTGGCTTAACTCACCCGACAATGGACTCAAGGTCGCTCGCGCCAAGGCGGCGAAAGCACGCGTAGCAGCTGAACTTGCTGTAGCTACGGTCAAAGGTGTTGAAGAGCGCCTTGCCTCGTCCGAGTCTACACCTCTACCTGCTACCACCAGTTGCGAGAAGAAGGGATCTGCACGCACACCTTGCAAGACCTCTGTCGAGGTGAGTAACTATATTGGTTCACTTCAGAAAAGCAGTGCGACTTACTCAATGTTGCAGGGTCCTGTTCACCGTACTTGGTACACAGTCCTGGGACTTCCATATGCCTCGAAAAACCAGAAAGACATCAGACTTCCAGACCCTCGTGTAGATGGTACAGTGAAGCCACTCACGCCAGATGGGTCCTGGTCTGTAAACTGGGCGCTAGGTCCGACTGTCGGCCATAATCCGGAGGTCTGCAACCATGTCAGGAGCCTCCTTGATCAAAATAAAGGTGTACGTACTTCGAGTAGGGCGCTGGTGCACATTGACTGATGCCGTCTCTAGAAAGATTGGGCAGCACTTACTGATGACAAGAAAGAATCAGCCGTCAACGGATACTTTGTAACCATGTCAGGAAAGTGGCGCACATACGGCAATGTAGAGCGTCAGGCTCAAGACGAACGTCGCCGGCAGGCACATGCCTTGAACATGTGTCGCGAATGTGTAAGCAATAGTTCCTGCACAGCCCATCAACTTGACACTGACCAGTTTATAGTGGGTTAACGGGCTGTTGAAGGCACTGCCTGCTCTCATTGAGTACATTACAAAGACGTATGGGGCAGAATACATACCTGGCTTGGCCGACATACTTGGTCAGCATAGATGGTATGGCCTTCCATGCGATGGTAAGGGCGCAGCTAGCCAGGAGGACTGGGACGCCCATAAAGTGAAGTGTGGTGGTGGATCGGCAATCACGGCCTGGGAAGTGCGCGAATACGCCTGGAAGTCACCAAAAGTTTGTCGTTATCTGTACACGGAGATGATTGGTGGCTCACCAATCTTGCAGTTGATCTGTCTTCAAGTCTTGCTGATGAAGAAGGCCCGCGAGATGTCTGTTAATGTCAAGCAGACCAGTGGCAGAAACTTCCAGTTTCCAGGCTTGCCGGTGAACATAATACAAGATGCACCAGGTGGCGCCTTCCGTATAACATCTGTGTTGCGCCGGCATGGATCGAAGCCACACAATCACCTCTGACCTTTCCAGAGGTGGACAACAAAGTCACCTGCCTACGCTGTCAGGAACTATCCATTTCTTTTCCTTTTCGACCCGTGTCTGCCTGCATGTGACCGCGTATCTCATGTGACCGTGTTTGACCCGTGATCCTTTGGCTTATATCATTACTATGACTACGTCGGCCCGCTTACACAGTACT